GACGAGTATATTCGTCATGGGAAGTGGCAGTACTTTTCGTCGTGACGAGTATACTCGTCAAGGAGAAGTGCTAGTATTTTATGTCGTGACGAGTATACTCGTCAGGAAGAAGCGGCAGTATTTTATGTCGTGACGAGTATACTCGTCAGGGAGGAGTGACAGTATTTTTTGTCGTGACGAGTTTACTCGTCAGGGAGAAGCGGCAGTATTTGATGTCGTGACGAGTATACTCGTCAGGAAGAAGCGGCAGTATTTTATGTCGTGACGAGTATACTCGTCGCGCGTAAAAAGTAACGACCACCGACTACTTAAATTGCAATTTTACTGAAAACAAAAACGTATTCTGAAATTTCAAAACGTTTAAAATATTTTGAGGTCGATCCTACACGAAGCTAATTAATATTATCACTGTTTTATTGCGCTATTATTGCGTAATAACGTTATCTTAACTCACGCGATCGTCGTTAAAAATAAACGAATATATTTGCGTTACCTCATCTCGAGAATTTATTTATTCGAATGCCCATTTCACCAAGACCCATATAAAAAAAAAACTTGTCTAAATATTACCGGCTCCGAAAATATATTAGAAAAAATTAATAAACACACCGTTCGAGCGATCATCGAACGATCGTACAGTATTTCCAGCGAGGTAAAATCAATCATGGTAGCGCAGACGCGTCTCTACGAGATAAATCAAATATTTTTAATATCTTGAAACTGCTGGGAAAGCCTCCCATCGGTCTCTTCAGAACCGTCGTACCAGTCGTTCCTGAATTTTTCAGAACACCCTCGACGTGTACGTAGCGTCGTAACATCTTCCCCGGTGGTGCACACCGGGCAAATTTTGAGTGGCCGCAACCGCACTGTTCCACCTCCTCCTCCTCCTCCTCTTTCTCGGACTCGAAAGATACACAATCTCCTAATGCACTCTTCCCGTGAACGTCTCTCGCTAAAAAATTAATAGCCGGACCGCCTGGATAAAAGGCGATATTTCAGCGGCTCGTGCTCCGCGGAACAGCGCGCCGAATCAACGATCTAATCACCGCGGTCGGTCTCCTCTAATCTGAACCACATCGGTAACGTTAAACATTTCAAAGGATTCGCGCGGCGCGGTCGCGAGTTTCTCGCAACGTTGCGACAAAGATTTCCATTTCGATTTCCACGAACAAGTCTATATTAACCCTTTGCACTCGAAGCCGTATTAACGGTAAATTTACATTAACTTTCTCGGCTTACGGTATTCCCATTTTAATGACAAAGCGCATTTTATGCGCGTGAAATTGAGTATAGTGACTCATATAACAGTTAGACTTTTAACAATTCTTTATACGTAAGCTTTGTTATTGTAAAAATTATCTTGGAACGTGGTGTAACAATTTTCGTGGTGCCTCGGAGTCACCACGTGAGTGCAAAGGGTTGAAATTTATACTATATGTAGTATAACTATAGTATTATATAGTATATATATACTATATATTTAATATATATACAATATACAGGGTGTCCCGAAAATGTCTCGCAATCATGAAATGAGAGATTCCCGAGGTGATTTGAAGCAACTTTTTCCTTCGCGAAAATTTTCTCCGAGGCTTCGTTTACGAGTTATTAACGAAAAACGCTGACCAATAAGAGGCGAGCTCGGCTGGCGCGCGGCGGCCCGGCCAACGAGTGCACGGAGCCCAGTTCCGCTCATTGGCTCGGCTGTCTCGCGCCAAATGATCTCGCCTCTGATTGGTCACTGTTTTTCGTTAATAACTCGTAAACGAAGCCGCGGATCGCATTTTCGCTAAGGAAACAGTTGCTTCAAATGACCCCAGGAATCCCCTACTTTCGGATTGAGAGACATTTTTGGGACAGCTGCATATTAAAATTTTTACTTCTATAAAAATCTAATTCAAAACAAGCTTTATTATAATTAATATAATCACACACGCTCCTGTTCAAAATCGATTCAGTTCAATATCTACCAAAAATCTACCATAATCCAAATATATAATAAATAAAGCCTCTCGCCTCAAAAATATCGATTACTCCAAATTTCTCTAAAAAATAAATCCTCGATCCTGAGATCACCGAGAACACTGTCTCCAAAAGATTCACAGCCAATGCGCACTGTCAACTGCCTTCCTTTCGATTAATAGTTTCTAATTTCAACGATCTTCCGTTCCAACAACAATTTCCAATCTCAACAATATTTAACATAACGATAACATCCAATTTCCGGCAACGCAAGTAGTCGAAACGTTCCCGGCGACTGTTCGGCTCGCTTGCGTTCCAACGTTATCGCGACCGCCCGGATCGAATAGATCGTCTTCGGAATTGTTCCATCGAGCGCGCGCGATTCGATTGTTCTCCGATAAAAGACTCTCGCTGTCGCGATTCGATCTCCGGTGTTCCCAACGTCTGCCACGGCGGTGGATCGCCGAGGGACAATGATCGACGACGAAGGAAGGGCTGCTTGCTGCTCGCCGATTCATCGATCGCTCCGGGCAACGGGCGAAGGAATCGGCGCGCGCGTCAAACGCTCCTAACTTGTCGTCTGTTTGCACAAGTTTAATGCGGCGGCGAGAGCCGCGAAAAAGGTGTGCGCGGATCGCGAGGCGGCGGCGACGAGAGGAGCGGGGTCGCCGCGGGGCGGCGAAACCGGCTCCCCCGTTTCCATTGTGCTCGGCCGGGTGTATCGATCACGTGTTTATCGAGGGTAATCATCGGCGCTTGGATATCGGAGGCTCCCCCGGCAAGCCCCCGCTAATTCACGGTAAATACCCGTATCGTTTTTGAAAGCTGTCCAACTGTCGAGCGGGCTCGACGGTGCGCCCGCGACCCATTTTCGAGCCCCGATTCCCGCCCTCCTTGCGATCGGTTCCCCGGTCGTCGAACCCGCCCGCCGGATACTAATTATCCCGCTGTCGTCTTTATCGCGCGATAATTGACCGTAAACGTTAAATGATCGTCGCGCGAGCACGAGCACGAGCGCGCCGTTCGACCGTGATTTCGTTATTCGAACACTTTATTGTCATAAATTGCCGCCGATAATCACCGGCCTGCCGGGTTTTATCGCGACCGTAGTTGTTCCGCCCGGTGTTTGATCTCCGCGTTCGGCGTCGGTTGTGTTTACCGTTCCCGTTTTAACGAAATCGATTTGCGGGCCTTGTTCGCAAACCCGTTCGCCCTTGCGAACTGTTCGACGGCCGTGTGTGTTTGTTCGAGGGCGATGGCTTGGTTCCAGGTTCGCGTAAACACGCGGCACTCAAGATTTCATGCGTTTCCGCGAATATAGGTGAATATTGTTGTTATTATTGTGCGTTATCATTGCAACGGGATTTTATTCCGATTTTAACCAGCCGGCGTCGACGACGAGCGTGCTCGTCGAATGCGGAGTAAGCGGCGCTGTTGAAATGTTGGATCGAGGAGACGGTTTTATTTAATTAGATTGACGATTTTATTGCTAATATACTGTACGTGTACATGGTAAATGAGAAACGCGGGGAAAATGAGATACTTGCGAAAGTTACAAATTCAAGTTGCTGCTGCAAAGTGCTATTCAGCGAAGCAAGGAAGGACGAACCGATAAGCTGTATACAAATTAATCATATTTTTTATTTAAATTTAATCATATTTTGTTTTATTCCTGCCTGGCCTCAAAATATTCCAAACATCTTGAAATTTGAGAGTACGTTTTTATTTTCAATAAAATTTTTCAATTTAAATAGCCGATGGTCGCTACTTTTTATGCACGACGAGTATACTCGTCGGACATAAAATACTGTCACTTCTCCCTGACGAGTATACTCGTCGTGACACGAAATACTGTCACTTCTCCGTGACACGAAATACTGTCACTTCTCCGTGACGAGTATATTCGTCACAACATAAAATACTGTCACTTCTCCCTGACGAGTATACTCGTCGTGACACGAAATACTGTCACTTCTCTGTGACGAGTATACTCGTCGTGACACGAAATACTGTCACTTCTCTGTGACGAGTATACTCGTCGTGACACGAAATACTGCCACTTCTCCCTGACGAGTATACTCGTCGTGACACAAAAATACCGTCACTTCTCCGTGACGAGTATACTCGTCAAACAAAGCTAACCGGTTAATTAGAGAACGACAAAATGGATGACATGGCAGCTCGACGCGACTCGCGAGGAACGACCAACGGTGTCGCGAACTTTCCCAATTAAAAATGCATGCCGTCGAGCAATTAAACGTGCGCGCCAAGTAACGCTATTTATACTCGGGTCCAAATGGACCCGTTGTCCAACTGTTCAATAGAAGCGAGTCGATATTGCTCTTAATACCGATCCATATAAATGCGAATTAGCGCGAGACTAAGTACTAATTACGCGAGTAAATTCTCCCTAAATTGACGCTCAGCTTGTGCACAAAAATGGACAATTTGGGGAAAGGAGATACGATTGTTCGAGCGTTGCACCTCGTTTTTATAATTGTTGACTCCTCGGTGACTGCAAAAACGAGGCAAAAGGCGCGAACAATCGCGTCACCTCCTCCCAAATTGTCCATTTTTTTGTACAATCTGAGCGTCAATTAGGGAGACTTAACCGCATACTATGGAGTACAGTAAATTCTCCCTAATTGTCGCTCAGCTTGTGCACAAAAATGGACGATTTAGAAAGAGAAGATGCAATTAATTCGAGCCTTGTACGTCGTTTTTGTAATTACCGATTCTCGACAACTATAAAAACGAGACACAAGAGAAGAGAATTCTCCCTCTCGAACAGAGAGAATTCACTGTATCACAGCGATCGGCGCGCGTTTCTTCGAGCTTCTTCGAGATCGCGCGTAACGTTGCCGCCGCGATTCTTTCCGAAAAAATGGAAAAGAATAACAACTTTGGCCGCCTTTATGCGGCCGCGTCGGAAGAAGAACTCCGATTTCAGGGTAGAGTGATACTCTTGATAGAGAGAGGCTGCACAGGCAGCCCCTAAGAGATTGAAACTGAAAAGAGCCCTTTCTCTCTTGTTGCAGCCTGCAACAAAACGTACTACGGCGACGTGGGGAAAACCTACGACCTGGAGCTCCATCGACCGAAGGAGGATAAGGTGCCTTACTTTTGCAAGCTCACCTTCAGCGCGCCGGGCGGCGACTTGGGCGACATCGTTCAGGTGAATCTCAACGAGAATCTCGTGAGAAAAAAAATAAGAAAGAAAAGGAAAAAAGGAAAAGAGAAATCCGTTCGCTCGCCTGCACCCATTCACCGGCCGCCTCTCGATACTTCGATACTTTTCAGCTGTCGATACGCTCGCCGGCAGCGGCCGTAAATTTCCATGGGATCGAGGCAACTTGTTTAATGGAACGGAAACGGAAGAATCGCGGATTTACGGGAGAGACCGCGCGGTTGTAAGCTGCGCGAATCTTCGAGGGAGGGGGGAGATAATTACTCGGAGATTTGTTAATTCGACCGAGTCTGTCGCGCGAAGGGAAAGTTTCCGTTTCGACGAATTTCCGCTTGGTTTCGAAGCCGGGTTTATTAAACCGCGGGGTCCCTCGCGGCGGATGGGTGCGCGAGCAATCTAATTTTTAATCGAGAAACATAACGGACTTCGTCAAAGGGCGAGCCTATTTAGCCTGGGGGCCCTTTGCGCTTTTGATACGAGGTCGAGACACCCGGAAAATATGAAAAATTTCTCGAAAATCTTCGCGTCTCGCGATCGTCTTTTCGACGACGCGGAAACGCTCTTCGGAGAATATTTCGTCCTCTTTTTATAACTATCGTTTATCATGCACGCAATCCGATAGTAATTTGTCGAGTTAGTGGCACGACAGGCTAGAAAGCGATGCGCGGCAAAAATAAGTGCTCGTCAATGCGAAACGGAGCAATCTCGCCGCGATTCGGAAGCGTTAAATCGTTATCGGTGTTGCGCCAATAAAAATAGCTGTTCCGAGGGGTAAGGGCCCGTTGGCAGTCGAACAAGGATCAACGACGAAATTTTTAATAACGCATATGGCCGGCCTCGTGCCGCAGAGCCATCTGCGGATGGGTTCGTGCCCGAAAAGTTTCGCCGCGAATGAAAGCTCCCCGCGAGCCGGCCCGGGCCGCTGCCAAATTATTTATACCCCCTGAAACCGGCTTTTTCTCTTTATCAAAGCCGACGGGGAATCGGTTCGCAGAACACGATGTCTCTCTCTCTCTCTCTCTCTCTCTCTCTTTCTTTCTCTCTTTCTCTCTCTCTGTTTCATCTAGGTAACTAAAACCGCACACGCTCGCCTCGCCCGTTTCTCGTATTTGCGGCTCGGGTAATTATTGAAGAGAGAGAAAGAGAGAGAGAGAGAGAAAGAGAGAGGGCTGTCGATACTTTAATCGGAGCCAACCGGAGATCAATTTCGCTGTTAACCGTTTAATTGATACGATGATTTTCAGAGAAATGATTGGTGTATCGGCGTCGCGATGGGCCCCGAATGGAACGTGCTAAACGATTTGGTAACCAGTTAGCTGTGGCGCCTCCTTTTCAGAGAGCGCACTTATGTCTGTCGCGAGAATCAAGCGACGACGAGTATACTCGTCGAACACAGAATAAGCGTCGCTGTTAAAATATTAGATCAAAAAGACGGTTTTTATTTTATAAAATTAGCAATTTTGTTATCAATGAAAACACAAAATACTGCCACTTTTCCATGACGAGTATACTCGTCGAACACAGAATAAGTATCGCTGTTAAAACATTGGATCGAAAGAACGATCTTATTTTATAAAATTAACAACTCCGTTACTCTAATGAAAACACAAAATACTGCTACTTCTACACGACGAGTATACTCGTCGAACATAGGATAAGCGTCGCTGTTAAAATATTGGATCAAAAAGACGGTTTATATTTTATAAAATCAACAACTCAATTACCAATGAAAACACAAAATACTGCCACTTCTCCATGACGAGTATACTCGTCGAACACAATGAAAACACAAAATACTGCCACTTCTCCACGACGAGTATACTCGTCGAACACAGAATAAGTATCGCTGTTAAAACATTGGATCAAAAAGACGGTTTTTATTTTATAAAATTAACAATATCGTTACCAATGAAAACTCAAAACACTGCCACTTCTGCACGACGAGTATACTCGTCGAACGCAGCTAACCGGTTAATCTAATTCTCCGTGAACGATTTTCAACGCGGTTTATTCTCAGCTCGCGTCTGGAATAATTGAATCGCGGTAAATGAAATTCTTCGACAAAGAACGAAGCAGAAATGCAATGTCGAGGTCGCGAGTGATCGATCAATCGCTTCGCCGGCGTATTATGCGGCCGCCATATTCGTTGTTTGTCGCGAAACAATATTTCCATTTCCTCTTAGACTTTTTTCCTGGCACGTGCGTCGCAATTGTTTGCTCGACATGAACTCCGTTCTATACGAAATCGCGAACTTCGTTTAACGAACTTCGTTTAATACCGCGTTGAAACGTGTCCGGGGGAGGGGGGAAGGGAAATAACTGTCGGTGGCAAACCACGCACTTTCCTGTAACTCCATCAACTGACAGAAAAATTAGAAATTACTCGGGATCCGGCGAACTTCGAATAACTGGTCAGAGTGTATTCGAAACTTTTTATTCTATAAACCTTTACTGTCAACCCGTTACAAAAAAGTTGCGCTATCTCCGAGCCTATTAGCACGTTAGCTGCCGCCGTTGCAAGCGTGTACTTTTTACAAGGGCGGCGAAACGAGTTTTATATTGTGCTTTATAATAATACGATTAATGCACGATTTTAGTTTTGGTAATTATAATTATAATAACGCGATACAATGTTCGAGAAGAATTTAGAATTTTTCTTTATTAAACTGTTTCAACGATTCACAAAAGTTCGATAAAACATTATAAGTAGACTACAGTAATGTCTCTCTGAGCGACGCCCAGATCGATCACAAAAATGGGAAATTTGGGAAGAGGAGATACGATTATTCGAGCCTTGCGGTTTATTTTTATAGTTATAAATTGTGCACAATTATAAAAACGAGCTGCAAGGCTCGAATAATCGTATCTCCTCTCCCCAAATTATCCATTTTAGTGGACAATCTGAGGCGTCAGTAAGGGAGACATTACTGTATTCGCATCTGCGATTTTCAATTTTCATAAATTCTTCTGTAAAAAAAAATCAAGCCGAGAAATAAGATCGAGACAGTCAAGTGCAACAGAGTCATCATTAATGTTCCATATTAATATTTCCATTTACAATTTGCAATTCGATATTCTCCTATAATTTAATCCCGCGTAAGTACCACCAGAATGCACACACACATAACGATCCTAAATTAACCCTCGAACGACCCCCTTCTATTTACGGCGTAAGTGACACCGTGGGGTCGCGTCGCACTCTATCTCCAATATATTATAAATTACATGAAATATAACCTCGAGCGAGATTTCAGTATTTATTCACACGATTTAAAGGCAATTCGGCGGCCACGCGCTAAGATTACGCAGCAACCCAAAAATCGGCATTTCAGAGAAAAATTCCTGTCTTCTCAAAAAAAGCAAATCATAAATTCTGAACCGAAGGTGACAATCCGAGTATACTATCGCCGCTATTATACCACTAAATAACCCGAACCAAACTACAGTAATGTCTCCCTAATTGACGCTGTGCATAAAAATGGACAATTTAGGAAGAGGAGATACGATTATTCGAGTCTTGTGGCTCGTTCTTATAATTGTTGACAATCGGTAACTATAAAAACGAATTGCAAGGCTCGAACGATGTTATCTCCTCTTCCGAAATTGTCCATTTTAGTGGACAATCTGAGCGCCAGTTAGGGAGACATTACTGTACTCTATTTGATCCAATGAAAAAGGCGTCGTCCTCGACGCGTAAACGATCGAGAGAACTGTTCAAAACGCGATCGTTGATTCCCGGTGATCGTGCCCTGTTTCCTGGTGATTTCAGTTGACGTTCGACAGCTTCACCCTAGGGAAATTCGTGTCGTTCACCGCGGAGGGCTGTCCGGACGGTTCCCTGCAAATTTCGGAGGCGGAACGGCCGGACGTCGGCGGCCTCTGGTGCGGAACGTCCTGGGGCCCGGCGATCTACTACAGCGAGACACCGACGGCCTCCATATCGCTGAAGCTGCTCCGACTGAGCAAGGATCAGACGGGATACAATTTCGACTTCCGGATGGCGTACAAGACGATCAGGAAGTCGGACGCGGTGGTGCGCTACGGGAATCCGTTCGTCGGTAGGTGAACGACGATCTCTTTCGCCCCGCCGCGGCGCGACGGGACGATCTGTTTCCCATCGACGGCCACCCCCTTCCTGATCCGAAGGATCAATCATACGAAGGATCCTTCCGTTTCTCTTCGAGCAAATCCGATCTTGACTTAACAGTCGCGACTAGACGCCGCGCGGACTTCGCCGCGTTTCATGGCAATGAAACTCTCGTTTCGCGCGCTTTTCCATCGTAAAACCGAGGAGTTGCTCTTCTGTGCTGCGTTACCGTAATTCCACAGTTTCGGAAGACCGTGTACGGGTAATCCTTTTATTGTAATATGGTTGACAGGCTCATAGGAAATGTCCTGTTGCGTGAAACTGTGTTATGTGAGTCCCAGAGCCGGTACAAAAAGGGGGTCTTGGTTCCGAAAACTTGTTAAAATCGTACATTTTCTTTTGATTCCGTGTAAGCAGTAGCTAATATAAGCAATAATATATATAATAATATAATATATGATAATATATAATAATATATATAATAAAATAATATATAATATATATAATAAAATAATATATAATATATATAATAAAATAATATATAATATATATAATAATATAATATATTATACAATATAAATATATCTATTATTGCTAATATTAGCTATTATAAATAAGCTATACAATCAGCTTATAAGCAATAAGCTAACTTTTCCTAAAAACACAAAACGAAAAAGAAAAACGAAAAATATTATTTTCATTCAATATAATCTCAATAAATTCCTTCCTCATCGCTACTCAGTATTATCAAACCTTCTTTCAGCAGAAGGGTATTCATTTATATACCCTTAATTATAATAATTATATTTTCACGTGAAAGCGCTATAGTTCGCGATTCATTCCGGTCATTATTCCAAGAAAATTTAGCTTCTAAATACGTTGAACATAAATCATGCTATCCGATGCTGTGGAAGTACAGCATCGTACAAAGGTTTTCTCAATTTTCTTATCGTGTCAGAGCGAAACAGTGTGTGTTACAGGTTGCAACTCTATACGGGGGTTTCCGCAATTTATCCTATAGCGTTAGAGCGAAACCGTGTTATAGGATGCGGTGTCGTAGAGAGGGCTGCCTGTGCAAAGTGTCGAAAAAGTGCGTTCCACGTTCGCCTCGCCGCGAACTTACGGGGAAAATTTCTCCTTCGGAACGATGTCCTAAAAGCCCGTATCTTTCAGGCTCCGGAACCCGCTTCTCTCTCTCTCTCTCTCTCTCTCGCAGAGCAAAGACCAGGAGCGTGCTTTCGTCTGTCGCGTTCACGCGATTTCGCAACTTTGAGCTTGGCTGTGCAAAGTTTAAAAAACGTGCCCACCATTGGCACCGCCCCTTTCGGAGCGCGACGTCTCAAAAGAGAGAGAGTCTCTCTCTCTCTCTCTCTCTCTCTCTCTCTCTCGAGTGTCGCTTTTATCTGGTTTCCTTTTTTTGTCGCATGTTCGCAAGCGTCGAGCTTGATGTTACAAAGTTTGAAAAATTGTTCGCCACGGTGTCCTCGACGCGCCCTTACAGAGGGATGCCTCCCCCTTCGGTGGGACGGCTCAAAAGTCTCTCGAGGATCGCTTCTATCTTTCACGTTTCCCGGCTGTACATTTTTGCAAGTTAATCGAATTTAACGCTGGAACTACGAAGACCTAAACGAGATCAATATACAATATGGTTTTATAGCAATGACGAGATTGGATGTATTTAAACTTCGCACGACTTATATTGTAACAGATGCTTGAATAAAGAAGTGTCCGTGAATATAATATAATATCTGTAATATCTTTCATATATATAATATATTATAATATCTTATAATATCTTATATATAATATATCATAAAATCTTATAATATTTCACATATAATGTTTTATAATATCTTATGATATAATATATATATCTTATAAAATCTTATGATATAATATATATATATATATATATATATATATATATATATATATATATATATATATATATCTTATAATATATCTTATGATACAATATACATATATCTTACAATATAATATCTCCAAGAAATACCCTTATAAATCCGTAGAAATAAATATTCTCATAAATCCATAGAACTCTAAAAAAAAAATCAGGCACCAGTCATTCTGACTGGTCCGCCAGTTCCACTGTTAATCGAACCGGGTTCAAGTTAGGTTTTCCGATACGGGCTGAAAAGACAGAAAACGTCTCCCCCATTGTTCCCAACGTTTCTTTGCATACACAAACACACACACACACAGAGAAAGAGAAAGGGAGAACCACTTATCCACCGTGTAGAGCAACGTCTCGAAGGTCTCCGATTTGTTCCCGCGAGTCGTTCTCGCTTCGGCGAACAGCGCGAAGCCGTTGGTACGAAACGAGAATTAATATTCCGTTTTCAGGGATCACCCACACAACGGTCGCACCGTCGCCGACGGAGGTGACGACGGCGTCGTTCACCGGCGAGTACGCTAACAGCTCTATGGCGGCGGTGCCGGCGCAGATGGTGGAGCAGCCGGCGACCACCCCGAAGCCCGGCGCCGAGCAGTACCTCGGGGACCTGATATCCGGGACCTATTGCTCCCGAATATTCCACGGCTGCGACCGGAAGAAGTGCAGACTTCAGTCGCCGAACTTTCCCGGATTGTACCCGCGGAATCTCACCTGCTACTACGCGGTAAGTCCCGCGGGGTGGCCGAAACTTCGCGGGCGTCGGCCATCATAAATATGGAAGCGTCGGGGATCGCGAGGGGTGGAGGGAGGGAGGGGAGGGAGAAGGGTGCCGGATAACCGCGGCGCCGCGGAATTTTTCGCGGACCCCGGCACCCGGATTATGCTCTGAGCCGTCAGCTCGCTCAGGATAAACTCGAGCTTCTTCTTTCTTCTTCTTCTTCTTCTTCTACTTCGCGACTCGAGCTCGCTACCGCGGCGCGCCGGTTTCGCCGGATTCCGTGAATACCAGACGAAATGGAATATGCCGGACGGTTTGCACGAACTATCGCTCGAGAGCTGAACAACGCTGGCGACGCAGTAGGATTCGAAGTTCGGACGGAGTTCGAAGAACGGGCTGTTCTGAAGTCGTTGATGCCTCCAGACGACAGGCGATTCGGTTCTTTTGCTAGGCGATCGTTGTCTTTCGCGGGATTCAACCCTTAACCGGGCGATGACGGCGGAGATTAGGGCGCTGCTTTGAACGAATCGACTTTTATATGCGTTATATAATATAGGATATATATATAATATATGTAATATTATACAATAATTATATTATATTATATTAATATGTAATTATTATATAATATAATATTATATGTAATAAAGAATTAATTCGCTATTGTATATACGTAGTAATTATCTAATAATTATATATAATAAAGAATTAATTTGTTATTGTATATATGTAGTAATTATCTAATAATTATATATAATAAAGAATTAATTCGTTATTGTATATATATAATAATTACATATAATAAAGAATTAGTTCGTTTTTATATATAATAATTATATTATATATTATCCTCATTGACTCGTCAAGTTTGCAACGTTTCATCGTAAATACGCTTGCGCTTATTAAATTAGAAATACGCAATATTTACTTCCATTTAAAAAGCGATGCTGTAAAATTCCCGAGTCTCTGTTGTGTCTCTGCTGCAACGAAACTTTTAAGTATCAGATTTCAATTTCTCGCGTCGGATAAGTTCGTTTGTTCGGGAAGAAATGACGGAACATCGAAAGTTGCCGATCGAGAATGGTCCCTCGACAGGCTGTGGGTCGATGGACGGCCATATTGGAATCCACTCTCTCTAGGCATCGAGCAAAATCTCCTCTCGAACGTTCCAAGCTCGCAGAATTCTTCACGAAAATCATCTGCCGCCTCCGAAAATCTTTTCCATCGACTATTTCAATCGATAAAGACAAGTTTCCATTTTGTGGCAGAACTTTGGTCATTATTTTCGCACCCGGTGGCCATATTGAAACCTGCTCTCTCTCTAGACATCGAGTAAAATCTTCCTTCGCGAATGTTCCGAACCACAAAATCCTTCGCAAGCGACGCCCAAGCGACGTCCGATCTGCGTTCGATAAAATCAAATTTCGAAACTGGGCCATTCGTCCGCGCTTCGGACGGCCATCTTGGACCACGGCTCGCCAGGAAGTCGCTCGGACGAGCCGGCGAACGTCCGAAATCCTTGAAAAGTGCTCTAAAAAGTGTTCCATCGTCCCAGAAAGCCGGGATCCGGCGGGTTCCATTGATAAAGTCGCATTTTCGTCGGGATCGGCCATGCGTCTGCGGAAACGTGGCGGAACCGTTGGCTGTAGCAAATTGAACGGTCGTATCGTGGCTCGCTGCGGAGGATCCGGGATACCGAGCACAGCCCCGGCATTCCTCCGGAAATTTACGAGGCAACGTTGCGTCGTCGTGACGTCGGCGTGCCATTATTCTTGCGGCCAGACGGCGCGCCACTAAATACACTTCGATGTCGGTTTCGGGTGGCACCGCCGGTTCCACGCGGCGTGCCACGTGTGGGATCCGTTTGCGAGAGCGCCTCGAACGGGCCCGGGGGCCCGTGAAAACGAGAGAGAGGCGATCGGTCAAACGGCGGGATAATTAAGAGCCCGCCGACCGGAAACGGTTACGGTTAGCGTTCTGGATCGCAAAGGAGCGTCATCGACAGAGGCCGGCCGAGCGATCCTGTCGCAACGTTGACCGACAAACTTTGCCGAGGCCGAAAGAGGCCGCTTTGAATCGGCCGCTGTGTCATGGGACTCTTTGATCCAGAAGTAATTCGATTCGCCACGGTCCCCCGAGCGGAATTCTCCGATCCGTTGCCGGACGCGCCGACCGGCAACGCTTTAAGACAATTAGCTACCCGATAGGCTTTTGCTTCTCGCGGATGCGATCGCGGGAGGGATTTCTGATCCGCTCGTAGAGTACGCTCGAAGCGAGAGGCTCGACGAAATTTTTGGTTACGGCGAACGGCGTTTCGGAACACCGAAAACGCGAACTTAATCGATTGATTCGTTATTTGTGTATTTTAACGCGTTGACAGTCGCGTCGAGGACGTCTCAGGATTTTATGGAATTCATGTATTTGAATCGATTTAATTGAACATGCAAAGTTATGTGACATCGATTATTACTTCTATATTCTTACCGCTTGCGAGTTTTAATAGAATTAAGAAATTTTTATGGATCAGCATGGAAATTAAATTTTAAATAATTTTGTATATAGTAATAGTAAATTTAATTAATTTTAACTAATAATCTTATAAATATAATTAAATTTCATTTAACTAATAATTTTATACATATAATTCAAATTTACTCTGACTAATACTTTTCTAAATAATTTAAATAATTTTCACGGCTGTCAAAGTGTTAATCGTTAAGGGTAGAATGATTCTTAAGGGTTCTTAAAGACGTGCAATTCGATTTTGATACTATTTTTCGGAAAGATAAGGACCTACCCTTGTAAGCTACCCTTACGCTTCGCATATATTTCTATCAAATTTCTATTTCTATCAGTACAAGTATTGCTATTTTTAAGGTCGCTTTATCTGATCCTTTTCAAACAAAAATCATCGTACTAACGACATCATTAACAATTCAAGAGAAAAGTGCAATTTCAGAGCAAGAATCATTTCGCTCCATTTTCAAAGCTTCGGCGAAACGTCCGCAAAAATGATCGGCAAATCGCGCGCACGCCGCAGCTCATTTCCCACATTAACACGTTCCATGCCACGTGTACCATCGATGGTACACGCTTGCATGTTTACTTAGTGAACTGAACAAATTGTTTACAAGAAATTTAGAACCGAAGAATCAATTTCCACCGCAAGAATGGGCGTTGATAAGTTTTTGTTACGTTGTTATGTGTACGAGAATTAATAATTGCACGTAATACATCAAGTTTTAGTAAAATATCAAAGTGTGAAGATTCGAGTAAAAAAAGCTCGGCACGGAACGTGTTAAAGAACCAGCGAGCAAGCATTCGTCCACGATCTTGACAACTGAAAAATCTGATTCTATCTCGCGTTTCGGGGGTTCGAAACGATGATCGGTGGCGGCGCGGCCGGGGTCCGTCGCGGCTCGGAATTCGCGTCGGACATTGTTTTCAGGCCGCGTCCCCTTTAACACCGAAACGAGAACGTGGTCGTCGACGGTGGTGGGAGAAATATCAGCGGGACGGTCTACAATTTTCCGACATTGTTATGCAAAATGGCGGCGCCGTTATCGAAAGGGGGGTCGCGGCAATTGCGGTGTGGTGGCGCGCCGCCGTTTTCATTTTCGGTGCTCGCGTGTGTTCCAGGTGAGGCAGCCCGACATACCGGCCGGGAAACACGCCTTAATTTCGGTGAAACAGCCCCGGGGCCAATTGGTGGCCATAAGGGCGCGGCCGGCCACCCAGGTGGAGTCCTCGCCCCGCGAGCTTCGCCTCTGGAAGGACTGCGACGTGGTGCAGGTACTAGAGAAGTCCCGCGAAAATTGGATTAACCGGTATAAATAGCCGCGTGACCCCCGTCCCCCTCCGCGGTTGCTTTGCACGATAATTCCGTCGGCGGTCGGCTTCTTAAATCAGAAATCCGCGCGCGGAAAGCCGCGCGGGCCGCGCGTATTTGCCGCGAGCCGCGCCAACTAAATTCGGATGGAAACCCGCGCGCGGCCCGTGTGGTCTACGCCGATAAGACCGATTTATTGGCAGGCTGCGGTGCCGCCGGTTAGCGCGGATAACGCGGTGGCGGCCTTCGTAAAGTGGAATGGAAAGGTTCCCGCGACGTTCCGATCGTTCAAAATTAACAGACAGCCCCGATAAACCTCTTTGCCGGACCGGTCGCCTTGCGGCCGGCCCTGCGAATCAGGACACCGAACCGGGTGCAAAATCGAAAATCGCGTCGCATCGATTCAAAACTATGCTTTATACGACGTTAAAGTGTCGGAATGATCTTGTTTACGTGCAGAAAGTTAAACAGATTTAACGGAGGATCGTTTACGAACGCGTTCCGCGAGCGAGAATTTAAAGATTGAATGATTACGCCATTTTGTAACGTATAAACAAATGATATTTGCACGTAATAATTTGTATAAAAAAATGATGATCCAGGGTTGTCCAATCGTAACAAAACTTTCGAAATTTTGTAATTGTAACTATAAACATGATTATAATTATATATCTTACTTCAAACATGCTTTCAATTTTCGAAGAACTCGTCTAAAAATTCGTTTAAAGGAAATCCGCGATAATTACTATTTATACTATAGTATATTAATAATACTTTAGTATTATTAATACTTCCAGTGCAAATAAAAAAGAGTCCCCTTTGCTTCGCGAGCTTTTATCGCGAACAAAACAAAAATTCATTGAATCTCGTCCCAAAGTCGGGCATTTCGGTGCACGCGCGTCACGTCACTCCTCGCTTCGCGTTTTTAACGTCTTAATTCTGGCTTAATCTTAGATCGATCGTGAAAATAACGCGATCGATCTCGCGAGCTCCGGTGAACGTTTCTTATTCCAGCGATCGCCGGAAGCATTCGTTCGGTAAACGAAGGAAAACGATCGAAAACGGGAGTCTTGTCGCCCGGGCCGCCATCTTGTCGGGCCCGAGACACCGGCGCGGCGGTAAATTCGAAACGGTTCGCGGAAATTACGAAGGTCGAAGGTCCGAATTGCAGTCGGTCTGTAACGAGGTCCGTCGTCGGTCGGTTGCCGTGAAAATGAGAAAACGGAAATTCCATGACCCGCAGGACTACGTGACCGTGTACGACGGCTACACGACCAGGGATCCGGTGATTCTGAAATTCTGCGGGGGCGGGGAACCGGTGCCAGAGGCCACCAGCAGCGGCACGGAGATCCTCGTCGAGTTCACTACGTCTCCTTACGGCACGTTCCTGCAGCCCACGCCTCCGCACTCGCTCCACGGCTTTCAATTAGAAGTGCAAGTACGTGGTAATTCTCTTCAAACATTCAGTAGGGGAGAGAAAACGAGAATAGAAGAGGGAGAGGGAGAGAGAGAGAGAGAGAGAGAGAGAGAGAGAGAAAGGGAAGAAGAGGTAGAGAGCCGAGGAACAGTGTGCTTTACACCTTGCCGAGGTAAAGTACGGCCTGTTCCCGGATCGCATTTAAATGGATAGCTCGAGAGCTCCGTGGCCATTTTTCAGGGCGAACCGGGAACATCCTAGCGACTGTAATAGCTCTCGGCCGCGCCGAGAGCTTCTCTTTAACGTTCGAGCTGTTTCAGTGTCCAGGAATCGTTGCTCTTCGCAATTCCTTGCTCCGGCGATTGATTCCGGACACGGTAAATGACACGCAGGGAACGTTGCCCGAGGAATCGATCCTTTATAAGCGAAGTCGAGTCTCTAGAGAACTGTATCCGACAGGAACGATGCGTGCTGTTTGCTCCAGAGCGCGATGCTGCGAAACGAACGACGTATGGAAGACGTGAACAATTTTATAAGTTTTTAACTTTGTCCTAAACAAAGTTTACGGAACAATTTTATAGTTGGCTATTTTATAGTCCAACTAGTCGCGAATTAACGATTACCTAGATTCCCTGATCCAAGCATACATTGCGATAAAAGTGGAGAAATGACCGAATAGATAGAATCTTGTAATAATAAATAAATAAATAAATAAATATAGAATCGTTGTAAAGCAACGCGAGTAAATCACTTCTAGATTTCGATAGATTCAGCTCTTCGCTCTTTTTGACATTGTTACATCGCGTCTCAAAATGATTTTATTAATCAAATTTGTTCATATTTAAAGAGCTATTTAAAGAGTCGAAAGTGTAATACTTGCTCGAGTTGCAACATTCAATTTCATACGCACAAAATGCACTAGGTCATGTAAAATGAAGAAACCGTGGGTCGGGTGAACTATTTCAAATTTTGCGTTAATTCTTTTCATCGAAGGCAACGGATTAACATCAATAAACCACCCTTGCAATAGTCATCTTCCCCCTTGCAATAGCATCGTTCCAGGTCAAACAGCGACCAACCAAAGCGCCCAAAACGAATCTCGCCCGATGTGGGCGTGGCTCGATCGCTCTCGGCGCCGCCCCTCGGGGCAACTGCCGCTCCGAGCCGGGCCCAGGACCCCGTCCCCCGTATTCTCAACTCGTAACCTAACCTTCCAGGTGAAGTTCGTCGACGTGGACTCGCCCACGTACGCGAAGAACAAGCACTGCGAGTTCTGGCTGCAGGGCAACAGCGGCGGGGTGCTCGCCTCGCCGCGGCACTCGTTGCCGAGGAACAGCACCTGCCTGTACCATCTCCGAGGGGCGGGACCAGCGATGCCGAGCCCAACGCCGCCGCGACCATTGCCCAAGTTCCCGGAACAGAGGCCGGGGACCGTGTGGAGAAGGCCGGCGCCAAGGCCACCGCAGCCGCAGTTCCGCGTCTGGCTGTCCATCCTGAAGTTCCACGTGGGCACCAGCCTGTCCACCGCCGACGAGGACTGCTCGACGACCCTGATGGTGTGGGACGGCGAGATGATGCCGCTGTACGGGTGCAACGACCCCTCCTGGTCCGTTGAACCGCCTTTGATTAATTGCCCGCCGTCCAGACTCTGTTTAGACTTGGCCCCCTACCCCCTTTCGCGTCGACGTTGCCGCTGATCGCCGCTTTCACGGTCGCTTCGCTTACCGTTCCCGTGGCCTCAGACCCCGCCGTCATTTTTTTCGGCGGTCCGTCCGCCATTTTAAAGCCTTCCAAAAGCGGCTGCTCCTCCTCGTTTCACCCTCGAACGACCGTCGTTTTTATTATTGAACTGCGGGACGCGTTTTCTGTGGATAAAGATGTCTCTCCAAGTTGTGAATCGTTAACATTTGTCAATGATTTATTATTTTTTGTTGGATATTTTTTGGATCAGATGCTAGATCTGTCGACTCTCGTCGCGCAGAGCCATGTTATTTGGTTTATAAGCGAGAAGGAGAGCTTGCAACGAGCCTCGGGTTGTAAGAAGCAGCGACTTTGCTTCTATTCCTGTGATCTTAATGGTTATTTATTGATACAGTAAATTCTCCCTAATTGACGCTCAGATTATGGACAATTTGAGGAAAACAGATACGATTATTCGAGTCCTGCGGCCCCTTTTTACAGTTGTCGACGATCCGTGACTATAAAAACAAGCCGCGAAGCTCCAATAATCGTATCCTCTCTTCCAAAATTGCCCATTTTTGTGAACAATCTGAGCGTCAATTACGGAGAACTTACTCACGATTCTTCGATCCTCGCGGCTCGTCTTCGCAGAAACTCTTTTATAGAAAAAACTGGAGTAAAAACGCCGACTTAACTTCTTTATTTCCAACCTTTTGCCACGATTCGAAGGCAATTCAGAACTTGATAATCACAGGGCTCGAATTTCGGGCACCTCGAGCTACAGTAATGTCTCTTTAATCAACGCTCAGATTGCCCACAAGAATGGACAATTTGAGAAGAGGAGATACGATTGTTCGAGCCTTGTGATTCGTATTTTATGGCTATCGATCGTCAAGAACTATAAAAACGAATTGCAAGGCTCGAATAATCATTGCGCCTCGTTTCTATAATTACCGATTCTCAACTATAAAAACGATCCGCGAAGCTCCAATAATCGTATCTCCTCTTCAAAAATTCTTCAATTTTGCGTACAACTTAAGCGTCAATTAGGGAGACATTACTGTACTCCGCGATTCGCGATAGTCGACGATTACCACGCGCCGATGCAAACAGGCGATCGAAGAAATCATTAAAAGTCGTCCGAGGCTTAACCCTAGAAAGATAACCATATGACAACGTACGTAAAAGATAACCATACGCTTCAGAGGCGCATGCTTTTCTAAGGCGTCAATTTTATACTAACAATGGATATTTATTTAAGTTAATCTAGTCATTTTAAAGGCTTGGCATTATTGTAAAAATAAAATGCATTTATATTATATTTTTTTATATTTTAAGTAATTTTAAACTTAAATCACTAGACCTCTATGAAAAATTAACAAAAATCAACAGTCTTCGCAGGCGCCTCTGCGACGTAGGTTATCTTTCTCGGGTTAAAGCTGAAGCTAATTCCAGAAGCAAAAGCAAAACGAAGTCGGACTTAGCACGGTAATCCTCCGTGGAATTTTGTGTTCCGCAGCGAGAAGGAGCAGGCGAAGCGAGCAGACAAGTCGAACGAGCCCTCGCGACCCCTGGTGGGTCGACCGGCGGGCAACACGACCCTGCTGGCCCGGTACTGCAAGGACAAGGTGCCCAGGACCTGCGACCACGCGATCCTGCAGAACACCAGTCGGCCCTGTTCGCTGGGGGAGAGCTTCGTCTCGAGCGGGAACACCTTGACCATCGAGATGAGGATGGTCGAGTCGACGGCTCTCAGGCGAGTATGGGCGACGTCGAACGGTCCCCAACCGGACGACGAAGAGGGTTAAAAAAAAAAGAAACGCCGGGGCTGCGTTTCAATTACCGGGCACCCGTGTGTCGGTCGCTGGCATGCCGCGTTCCGTTCGAAGCCCGCGCGTATCGATCGAGAAACCGTGCGTCGTGTTTTCTCGCGGATGCAAAGAGACCCGGAGGATCGCCGGGAAAACGAGCTTTTATTGCCCGGCGAACGGCCGCTCGTTAACGCACGATACGCCGCCATGTTCCCGGCTGATGAGGACGCGCTCCGTGCCGGGCTAATCGATCCAGCCAATTTTTGGGGACGTCGGCCGCGTTGGTAAACAACCGCCGCAAACCGTCCACGAAATTTTCGCCGCCGCGTCCGGGAACTTTCGCGATCATTTGCCGGCGTCTGGCCGGCCGAAAGACCCCTGACCCTTTCGTTGTCGAGAGGTCAACGAAGCGAAAGGAGAGCCGAGGCAGCGGCACAGTGTTAACCCTTTCACGGCGGGCCATTTTCGCAAGCGTCACGTTCGCGATTCTTAGAACAATTTCGAGCAGTGCTCGGATATTTTTAGAACATACTTTCCGAGATATTTCCTGCGGTCTTGTATTAGGTCTTGTATTATTTTATTTATTACGTTATTCGTCATTTTATTCAACTGTGCGAAATTGTTTCCTTTTTTTCCTGGACGCGCGATGCGACGAGAAACGAAGCGAATTCGACGTCGATTACGACGCGACCATAACCACGGGCTCCGTTAGCTTCTCGTCGGTCGGACGACGACGACGATTTTGTCGTTTATATCATCTAATTAACAATCTAATCAGCACGCGGCGTAACGGGGGATCGTCGCGCGGTCCTTTCCGTCCGATTTCAGTTCCGATCGCGCGTCGCGAACGGATGTTCGAGCCTCCCCGAGTGTTTTAATCGCTCGAGAGGGCTCGCTTTTTAATTCGATGTAAAGGGGGAAGCTCCGCCGATCAAGAAATAATTACCGGCTGGGGGCTGGTCGGGGTTGATAAAGGCAGGGCCAGGACGGTCGCCGTCAGGTATAAAGGATTAAGTAGACCGTGCGACGCATCCGCGTTCCGTTGTTCTTCTGTGTCGGATATGCCACGCTTCAACACCCGCTCCCCTGTAAATAATAATCAGCAAAAAGGTGTAAATAACCTCTTCGGAGCCTCCGGAGGTGAAGGAACGCGGACGAGCCCGCGCCCTACGGGGTATAATTACGGAAGCATCGGAGGCGATGCGCGATCAATGCTTCTTCTCTCTCTCATTTCGGTTTCATTCCGTCGCACGTCTTCGTTCGAGCCTCCCCTTCTCTCGATTTCATCGCTGAACTCGTGAATTCCTCCAAAACGGCGCTGGTTCAATTTTTTAATGAAGTCAAAGTCGTGTAAAACTCGGTGGTTTATCGAGACGATTTATCCGATATAATCGAACCCGGAGAATGGAGTCGTGAATTTTTGATTACATCAGTCGACGCATTTTGATTATTTTATGAAAATAGTATTAAGCTATTTATGTAAAGGAATCATTGGTTTAGGAGATATACATTAATTTTAACACTAGAATTATATCGGAGCAGTCAAAATGGCTGGTTTTTTATTTTTTATTTTACTGTTCTCGAAGAGAAATGAAATACTTTTAGGAGAAATTTTTAGGCGCGCCTATTTTATTGCAGTACATATTATAACATAAATTATGCGAGACTTCGATAAATCCCAAATCCAAAATGCTCGAATAATCGTACCCGCTCTTCCCAAAATTCTCGATTTTTGGACAATTAAAATCCAAGGGCGAATCAGGGAGAATTTACTATAATTTGTACAGCGTTTCGCCGGCCAACTTGGGACAATGAAACTTCGTTCGATCGAAGTTCAACCGATTCTGCGAAGAACAATGGGATTATCTCTCGGACATATGTAGCCGGCTCGAATAACATAATCCAATATGGCGGCCGCTGCGACGCCGCCAGTCGATAATTCGAAGTTCTCGGGTTCTCCGGCGAGAGACAAGAAATTTCGTAGATTTTTAGGGGAGAATAACGAGAGAATAACTTGCGTTCGAACGGGAATTAACTGGGAACTTTTGGGAAACGGGGTGAACGGGGGTGAAAGGGGGGGCTCCGGGAATATATTTCTCCGGCCGATATTTCCCGTTTTAAGCGACCGTGCCGCGGAATTTCCGTGACTTCCGCTTACCCGCTCGGTTTTCTCCGGGAAAAATCGCTCCTTATAAATAACTGATATCAGACGCGTCGGGTGGGATAAGGCGGGGGGAGGGCGCAAAGGGGACACGGTAAGAGCTAGCACGAACGAAAACGTGCAAGTGCGGCAGATATTGCTCCTCGTCGCCATAAAACCGTTCGCATTCTTCGCTTGTAACGTTCTGTATCGATTTCACGGGAGCCAGTACCGCGAGCAAATTTTCTCTGAATTTATATTCAATCCGTTCCCTCTTCGCGATCCATTGGATCACGGGGAAAAAACGTTTCGGATCGACGTGTTTGGCAAATAACGAGATATTGGCTGCCGCAGCCGAGGATTCGCCACCCTTGTGCACCCGGCATTATTTTCATCCTCGGCCTCGATCTATAGCGGAGCACGACGTATTCGACTAATCTTTAACCCTCTGCGGTCGGAGCTATTTCAACTAGAAATCCAAAATACTTTTCTCCGGTATTTTTTTTAGTATTTTCAATGTTTACTGTTACTTTTGTATGGTATTTCACTTTTGTGCAACTCAGTGCATTTCATACATGTAAAATTGAATTTTGTGACTCGTGCAGCAGTCACACTAAATGTTAACAAATATGAGAATGTTCAAATTATTTTGAAACGTGACATAACAATTCTTAATGCCGCCTTCGAGTCGCCACTCGAGCGCAAAGGGTTAAATTAGCCAGCTCTAAACGATAACAATAACTTAAATTTTGATGTTATTAAATTATTATTAAATTATTATTAAATTATTATCAAATTTTAGATTCAAATTACGATAACAATAATAATAATAACAATTCGTAACGCATATCCTTGTAATTATTTCTAACACTATCGACAAATGTATTATTTGAATTAAACATTTCCACGGTAAAATTATTTACTTAAACGGTTTAAAAAATTGATCGAGGTGTGTAAAAATGATGCCGGGTCAACTTGGTGCCAGCCTTTAGCCAGTCAGCTGTGCTCGACGAGTATACTCGTCACGGAGAAGTGGCAGTATTTCTCTAAGTATTATATTATAAGTATTCTAAGTATTATATAATATTATAAATATCACAGTATAAGTATTCCAAGCATTGTACCACAGCAAACTGTTTAAAAAGCTCGTCGACGAACGCGGTTGCGCCGATGATCGCTAAGTCGATGATCGCTTAGTTCGATCGCAATTCTAAGTATTATATAATATTATAAATATCACAGTATAAGTATTCCAAGCATTGTACCACAGCAAACTGGTTGAAAAGCTCGTTGATGATCGCTAAGTCGATGATCGCTTAATTCGTTTTCCAAATATTGTTGGTGTGATTTTTCTCACTGTTCGCCCGCAGGCCAGTGAATTTCCGTGCCCTGTACGAGTTCGTCGATATCCATCAGGACGGGGATCCTTACGGGAACGGGCCATGCCAGAGGATCTTCTACAGCCGTAATCGGGATCACTATCCTGATCGTAGATTCCAGGCTCCGCGCGATATCTTCCTTTACGGTCGGGGCGGTTCGAAGAACATCAGGTGAGATATTCCTCCGGCTCGCCGGATATCTTTTCTATCAACTTTCCTCTCTCTCTCTCTCTCGCTCTCGCTCTCTCTCTTTCTCTCTCGCGAGAACAGATTCCGAAAACTTGTCATCAGAATTCTCCGCTCGTTCTTCCGAAAGAAAGATGAGGTCGCGACCCAGTTTCAAGTCTTCGACACGTGCGAATAAAGCAAGCCCGATTCGATGTAACACTTTCATTCGAGCCGAGAGTCGAGCAGATATTATATATATATATGGAAACTCTGAATTTGTTATACGAGGCTTGTTGCACAATATCGGAACGATTATCGCGAATTTTTGTGAGAAATAAAAATTGTCCGCATCGATTGCCAGAGATAGAGACTGAATAGCTTCCTTTCTTTAACCCCCAAAAACAATTGCATTAGAAACGTTTTCCTTCTGTACAATTTTTCTTACGATTATTTTTATCATCGTATAATCAATAATACAAGTATTTTTATTATTATTATAGTAATTGACGGCGGTCTCGCAGACCGGCAATAGCAGTTACGATTACTTAAGCTAAGGGTTGATTTGCGTTTCAATGCACATTCAAAATAATCGATTTATTATATAATTATATAATTTATTAATAGATTTATTATACATTATATAATTATAAAATCCCTTTCGAATTATAACCGCCGAATTTCGTCGTCGCAAACGCGTCCGCGATCCGCGGTCCGACGACGATAAAACCGAATTACACCCCGCAGACGCGCGTCGAGTGGCTCGAATAAATTCGTAAACGGTCCCGGCGGCGCCTCGGCCGACAATTCCGCGGAAGGAACGGCCGCGGAAAACGGTGGTACGGATTAAATAAAGGACAGGCTGAAGGGTGGCTGGAGAAATTCGCCGATTGACGCGCAAAGATTGAATCCGCCGCAGAGGAAAGGGGGCCACCGCAGTCCGGGGGATCCAAGCCGGCGGGAGTGGTGGCCGTTTCTGGAGGAAAATAAAAGATCCAACGAGGACAAACTCGTCGTCCGTCGGTGCTTTAACGGCGGCGGGCCCTTTATGCGCGAGCGATTCCGCGATTTCGAATGAGACGCGCGTCAGCGGCGTCCCTTTGTTCAGCCGGCGAAGCGATAACGCCCCCGTAAATAGTCCCTTTGTGGGTCGTGACAATTTTTTCCCCTCTTTTTCCCCCTCCCCCGCTTCTTTTTCGACCTCCTTCGGCGACGAAACAGAGAGTGGGGGCAAAAAGAAACCGAGAATCAATGTTTCTTCCCCCGCGCCGCGCCGCGCCGTCGCTGGATTTTCAAGCGCGGAGAACTTCTTCGCGGCCGACTCGCCGGGCCCCGGGGCTACGGAGGATTTGTCTTTCGAACGGCCATTTTCCAGCCGAACTATTCAGTGTTCCCAGCGATATTCGGACAAAAGGCGCTTCCGGAAGCGCGGCGATCCGCGGCAAGCGATTTTCGCGGCGATACCGTCGGTTCACGGACTCGCGATCTCCACCGACGGAATCGATTTGAATCGAGATCTAATCGATTTCGTCCCTTGTCGAATTAATTGCGATCTAGATTTCCGTTCGAAATCTATTGTAATTTAATGCAAAAATTGTAAAGTCTACTGAAATTTAAACTTCCGTTAACAATCCGTTATAATTCAAAAACCGTGTAAAAAGTCTACTACAAATCAATTGCATCCCTTGTAAAATTAATTGCAATCTAGATTCCCATTAGAAGTTTATCGTAATTTAACATTTTGATTTAAGTTTCTATTAAAAATCTACCGAAATTTAAACTTCTATTACAGATCCATTATAATTTAATTTCGCGTCTACCACCTAAAAAATCTACCACAAACCAGATTTCCATCGCTGTTTAAAATTAATTACAATCTAGATTTCTGTATAAAAGTCTACTGTAATTCAACATTTTCATTCAAGTTTCTATAAAAAGAGTCTACTAAAATTTGAACTACTGTGAAAAATCTATTATAATTCGATTTCGCGTAAAAAATCTACTACAAATGAATTTCATCCCTTATAAAATTAATTATAATCTAGATTTTCATTAGAAATCTATCGCAGTTTAACATTGTAATTTAAGTTGCTATTAGAATTTACTAAAATTTTGAAAATCTACTACAAATGAATTCCGCCCTTTATAAAATTAACTACAATCTAGATTTCCATTAAAAATCTATCGCAATGTAACATTTTGATTTAAGTCTCTATCAAAAATTTACTAAAATTTCGAGAATCTCTTATAATTCACTCTCGCGTAAAAAATCTACCGCAAATCATCTTCATCCCTTGTAAACTTCCTATAAAAAAAATCTACCGAAATCTAAACTTCCGTTAAAAATCCATCACAATTCCAGATTCGCAACGATCGTCAATCGTACTCGGTCGACGGAAGTAGCGTCTTATCGGCTCGCGTCGTCACCGCCGTGATTTATTCGCGAAGGGTCCTCGATTAGGTTTCCGCGCGCGCGCGATGTCCGCGTGTTTGCATTGCGATCTCGCGGCGTTTGTAAAACGGTCTTTTTCGAGGCCTCGGTGCGCGCTCTCCGACGGTGCTCGTAGAGCGCCGTCGTGTTTCCCGACGTCGGTGAAAACGTTCCGAATCGCTTCGTCGGCGAACCGTGGATAGTCGACGGGATGAAAATCGCTTTGCACGCGATCGGCGATCGGCCGGCCGGCCGCGGCGGCATCGACCGGGAAAGCGGCTCCTTTGCGTGGCCGACCGGCCATGTAAACTCGATCGAGTGTTGAAAGTGTGCAGCCGAGAACGGATTTTCCAGCTGCGTGTACCGGTTCGAGGGCGAGCACGACGAGATCGTCAAGCTGAGGTTCAACAAGCTGCTGAACGGGAATCGGACATGCCGCAGCGTCTCCAGCTCGGACTTCAGCCGGCTGCTTTGCGTCGGCTCCGACAACTTCTCCGTGAAGGTATGCGCCCCGTCGTTCCTGCGATTTTGCTCTTTCGAACGCTCGGCAACCCCCGCGAAAGAAAATTTGCGGACGTACGAGGAGCCTCGGCCGGAAAGTATCCGTCTTTTTTCACGCACAATGGCCCGCGGAATTGTTCGTACCGCCTTTTCGATATAACTTTCGCAATACGGTAATGTTTCAGCGTAATGTTTAAAGCGTCAATTGGAGAGTCAATTGCAGCGTCAATTAGGGAATACAATCGACGTTCCTAAAAATTGGACAATTTCGGAAGAGGTGGTACGATTATTCGAGCCTTGCAACTCGTTTTTATAGTTACCGATTGTCGACAATTATAAAAGGACGAGCTACAAGGCTCGAATAATGGTATCTCCTCTTCCCAAATTGTCCATTTTTGTGGAGAATCTGAGCGTCAATTAGGGAGACATTACTGTAACTTTCTTAAAATTGGACGAAGATGATAGAGGGATGATAAAGGAATGATATCGTTCTTAGATGACAGAGGGACTACTCTGATAGACGATGACTAAAATGCTTTTTCTTCTTAATTTTGCTATTACTTGGAATGACAGAAAAATATAAAAGACTCTCGGTTTTTTTTATAGGAACCTATAAAGAGAAAACTTAAAAAATGTCTTTCGCGTGTCTCGGTAACATGTGCATGCTGAAAATTAAAAAGTTAAAAGGCGAAAGTCTTTTGTTCGTTTTTTGCCATTCCAACTAGATACCGGAATTAAAGAGAAACATTTTAGTCATCGTCTATCATCGCGATAGTCACCCTCTATCATCTAAAAGTGATATCGTCCTCTATCATCCCTCTGTCATCGCTCTATCATCCCTCTATAATCTTAGCTCAATTTTAAAAGAAAGTCACCGCACTTTAAAAGGCATTCGAATACTTTTGCGAGCCACTGTATCTCAGTGTCCCGTCGAAGCAAAATTCTACTCGCCGTTTATGTTGAATTCTCGCAAATCTCCTCAATGTTGTCTTGTTCGCATTAAATTTAACTATAAATTCGCGTCGCGAACGTAGATCGTCCTCGCGTTTTAATTGAGGAGAGAATCGTCGTTCAACGGAAGAGGAATGCTTCCAAGGGATGAACCAAGACCTCGGGAATTGCAATAACCATTATTTCGCTCTGCAAAAAGGTGAAATCGGGTCCAGCAGACCATTCCCAAATCTCCGAGATACTCTTAGTTCTTCTTTTATCACGAAGAAGCGGAATTTTGTCTCCTGTATTGTCCAGTAGATTATTTTTCCACGCGTATCTGCTTTCAACCCCTTGCCGCGCCATTTTCTTTATAGTCGCGGTGATCAGTGTTTTGAATCGAAAATTATGCTTTGACAAAAGAGTGGCCCTCGCATCAGGCATCTCCGTATCAAAGAGGACGTATATAGTTATCGTTGCAAAAGATCAACCCTCTCGGCACCCTTCTGCACCAAAAAGAAGCGGATCGCCGATCGAATTTCGCGCGCCGAGAAAGTCTAAACAACGGCTGCTCGGCCCTCGATATCGCCGTGCCGGGTGCACGCGGGGACAATAAGGGGCAAGGAAGTTTAAACAGCAACACCCCCGAGTCGCTGTTCGATAAGCCGGAGCGTGTTCGCAGCTCCGTACGAGGGCTAATTGCGATCGCGCGAACGCGGCGGCAGCCCGGGCCTCGCGTATAACAGGTTAACGAGGCTTTCGCCGTGCCGAACGGCCGAACAAATCTGAGTGTCCCGCGTGTCCCGGAGCGTGTCCGGGGCCGGCGAAGTTCGTTATCAATTCGCGGAATTTACGAGGACCGCGGAATTTCACGCGTAATTACAACAATCCGCGACGCGCGGCCGAGAGCGCGCCGTGTCACGTTCGCTTGCGTTCCCGCGGCCCCCCTCCGAGCCCCCTCCGAGTCCCCACGCGGCCATTGTAATGATCATCCGCCGGGCCAATTAATCGCCGCAACGACGCCGAACGGCGCGTTTCGTCGTCGGCGTGCTCGTCGACAGGTGATGGACCAGCCGTGGCCGAACGCGCCGCCGGTCCAGAGGGACTGTTTCTGCTCGAACAGGTCGCTGCCGATGAACGTCAAGTCGACGTCGAACGTCGTCGAGGTGCATTTCAACGTGCTGTCCATGGACGCCCTCGACGATTACAACGATCTGTTCTTCGAGGCCACGTGGGACTTCATCAAGACCAGCCCGTGCCTACAGAAGCGGAGGGTGCGCGGCCCGTCCGGGGAGATCAAGTACAAATCGCCCGTCGTCGACGAGGACGAGGTAATCAACGTCGTTGTCGAACGACGAAACCGGAAATACCACGAGAGAAACCGTTAAATCAGCTGCACGCTAGAAATTGTTGCATCGCGTTTGATAAAGTAATTCTTGCATCGTGGAGTTTTTTCATATTTAACCGGCGAACCAACCGAGCAACGGAAGTTAATGATGCGCGTTGCTTAATTAGTCGGCTGTCGCAATTCTCTTTGAAAAGTGCGCGCGGCACTGTAATTGTACCGTACGTGTTTCATTTGCTTCATATTTTATTGAAATACCGCGCATTTATGAGATATAGAGGGTGTCGCAAAATTATGGTCACGTCAAAGTTATGCCAAGGTTATGTCATGGTTGTGTTGGGTTCCCGAGGTCATTTGGAGTAACTTTTTCCTTAGCGAAAATGCGATCCGCTGCTTCGTTTACGAGTTATTAGCGAAAAACGGTGACCAATGAGCGGCGAGCTTGGCAGGCGCGCGGAGACTGAGCCAATAGGCGGAACTGGGCCCGGAGCTGGAACTCGCTTGTCATTGGTCACCGTTTTTCGTGAATAACTCGTAAACGAAGCCGCGGATTGAATTTTCGCAAAGGAAAAAGTTGCTCGAAATAACCTCAAGAACCCCCTGTTTCCCGGAAGTGCCATAATTTTGTGATTAAGTAATTTTGTCCTGCGTAATTTAATAAAGAATATCAAACCGGTATACTTGTTAAAAACTGCTATCTGGTTAATAAGAATACGGAGACCGAATTCGTACAATTTTCGCCACTTTTATCATAATACACATCCGCGCTCGAATTGAACAATTTACTCGATTAATAATAGATAGTATAAATATATAATAAATAATAAATTCGATTAATTAATAGTCTTCGTAACTAGATGCAATAAATACGATAAAATAAGTCGTGTAAAAAGGAAATGCCGTAGATAAGAAAAACCATGTTTGGATTTCAAGTTAAATTGTCTTCGAAAGAGACAATCTTCTGCAAAAATTATGTCAAAATAAGAAGGTAGCGTAAACTATATGTGAACGAGAAGATATATCGTTCCTCTATCGAATCGAGAATTCGACGATTCACCGTGATTTCGCTTCGCAGAAGAACTGCGAGAAGCATCCGTGGCTGATAGAACCGGGATCGACCCAGTACCTGTACGTGAAGACGCAGGGCGTCCTGATGTCGAACACCAGCAACAAATGCGCGACGAAGAATCGTATCGTGGTGCACGTCGGCAATTCAGCCCCTAAATCGGTGTGCCCGAGGCCACCGGCGGACATGAGGCACAGCGTGGTAGAGGTGTTCAGCGACGGCTGGGCCGTCAGCGGCGACGCCGTTTTCCCCAACCCGGGCCAGGAACCTGTCAAAAGCATCGCCGTGGAGTTCATCATGAAGGAACCGGACAGTTACACGGTTACCTGGCTCGAGCTAACCAGGAGGTACGATCCGGAACATTTGTCGACACCGTGGAAGAGCAGCGCTCGAGGGTCGCTAACTCTTCGAGGTTGCGGTGTAACAATATATTCTTCCCAATTGTCTTTCGGCTTGTAAATAAAAATGAACAATTTGAGAAGAGCAGGCTCGTTTTTATAATTGCCAATTGTCAACAGCTATTTTTTAAAAACGAGTCGCGAGACTCTGATAATCGTATCTTCTCTCCCCAAATTGTCCATTTTTGTTTCTCGAGATGAGGGACAATTGGGGAGAATTTACTGTAGCTTTTCCAGCAGTGGACCCTAATTATTTAGGGTGCTGTTACACCCTTATATATTATTTTAAGTGCGTGCATTGTTTTTAGTACATTTTTACTTGGAAATTAGAAAGCGTTCGTGTTAGATTAAATTGTAATGAACGCACAATAAAATCTATATTTTATATTTTACGTTTGATATAATATATATTAAATTAAAATAAAATGTATATAACATACAAATATTATATATTATTATATATATTATAAATAATCATAAAATATATAATAAAATACGTATTAAATTTAATATACATTAATATATTAATGAATATATAATTTAACATGTATTATACATATTCTATTTTCTTTTTATTTAATCTGTATTTCATGTCTTACATGATATTTTTCCGCGTGCTTCGCACGATTTTCATTCTCCTTCTCACTTGAATTTGTTTGCAGGCCGTCGGTGACCTCGACGGCGGGCCTGCAGATGCCGAAGGACTGCGAGCAGCGTTGCCCGGAGCTGGACGCGTGCATAAACGCGTCGCTATGGTGCGACGGCGTCACCCATTGCCCGTCGGGTTACGACGAGGCGTTGAAGCACTGCTCGATGCTGCTGCAGCTGCCTCCGTTGCACCTCGCGCTCAGCCTCCTCGGGATCCTGACCATCCTCGTCGTGATCTGCATCGTGATATGGCGGATCTGCCGGCAGCGCGCCAACAGGTCGATATCCCAGCACAGGCTGAAGAGCATCTCCTCGGAGACGGCGATCATCGACGGCAAGGAAGTGATCTGCTGACACAGCGACAGTTCTGTGCGGTACGTGGAGGTCGACCGCGTGACCACCGTGTGACGATCATGGGTCATGCTTGTCGGCCGCCGTGGGCTCGCCCTAAGGGTGCTCAGGATGTCATCCTGAACGGGGCGACGCCACGGCGACCGCCGCCTCCGCGTAACGCGCAGAACTGCTTCGAGAGACCGGGTCCACGACTCGGACATCACGCACGGTGGTTCTCTGCTCGATGACTCGGATCCGGGCCTGCCTGTCCCCCGTCTAGAGGGGTCCGAAGGGGTTCCGAGACCTCCCCCCAGCGTCCGCAATTCTTCAGTCTTTTTAGCCAGCCGCGGGACTGGCCGCGTTTAGGGAAAGATGGACTCCGCGTAGAGCTAGTTTCTGGGACTCTTCGATCGCCGGGCTTTGGTACAGTTATGTCTCTCTAATTGACGCTCGGATTGTCCACAAAACATGCACGATTTTGGGAAGAGGAGATACGATTGTTCGACCCTTGCGGTTCATTTTTATAGTCGCGAATTGTCGACGACTATTCAAACGAGCTGCAAGGCTCCGACAATCGTGTCTCCTCTTCCCAAACTGTCCATTTTTCTGCAGAATCCGAGCGTCAGTTAGGGAGACATTTACTCTCGTTTCTGGAGAGCCTTTCTCCTGGCGTAGGGACACTTTCGTTTTGGGGTCGAACTACTCGGTTCCAACACCGCCGAGATTTACAAAGGGCTACGAAAAGGCTCCGAAGGTATTTTAGTTGCGACAATGCGCAAGATCCGCCGTCGATCCCTTTCTCAGACCTTCGTTTTCGATAAGGACTGCCTGGTACAGGCGCCGAATAGCGCGGATCTCTTTTTGCGAAACGTCTCTACGCAAGAAGAAGACTCTGTCTCGTCGATCGAGGGAGCTGCTAACTTCAACCTGGAAAGATCTGTTAACCCTTCGCCCTGCGACCACGTCTGAGAGACGTGGTCGGATAATCGGGCCGTTCTAATTGTGGTCTAACTATTATAGTATGGTCATTCCAGTTATGGTCGCGTTATCGTCTAAAAAGAAATTCAAATCGTTCGGTTCAGTTCTAAATAAAAGTCATCGCGTTCTGAAAAGCGTCCGAACATTAACGGGACTCGCTGTATTCACGTAGGAAGTTCGCGATTGGCGCAATCTCAGACTAAAACTTAAATCGTAGGGCAAAGGGTTAATCACGATTCGTTTCTCCGCCGATCAAGCTTCCGTTGCAGCATTTTTCCAAGGAAACCAGGCATGTCCAAGCTAGAGTCTCCGCAGCGTTCCCCTAATTTCTCTCGAACTCCTTCATCGGGCTCGTCGCCTGGCTCATCGGAGACGCTTGGCGAGAGAATTGTCTCCCGCCTTGAAACATCTCGGGGCCGGGAAACGTCTCGGACACGGCCGAGCCGATCCGAAAGTCCAGAGAGTCTGTCGGTTTTTCTTTTACGTTGACGACGCGTCGGGCAGTGGGAGAAGGTGTCGAGTTGCTTCAACGAGGACAATAAAAATAATAGATCCTAGGTGATATCGTATCGCTGGTAGCATTAGCTTAGCGCTGAGACACCGTCGTGTCATAGTCGATCCCCGTCTCGATCGATCGATCGCGTTTCCCTCGAGCCTCGGCGACGATTCCAAGCCCTGGGAATCGAACGCGACGGTCGATCGGGGTTGCTGGATCTGCGACGTTGGCAACCGGGAAGCCTGAAACTCCGTTGGACCTCGTGCTAGATCGGGAGAGGACGCTGTTTAATGAGGATCCGAGTGATCGAGCAGGGGACGAGCAAGGAACTCGCACTAGTCACTCAATCGTTCGTCGAGCTTCTCGACGGCAACGCGATTTTTAGCACGAGCCAACCGACTGCTGGCCTCTATTTCTCTCTGTCTCTGTCTATCTGTCCCTAGATCTTCGCTCTCTCTCTCTCTCTCACACACTCTCTCTTACTCTCGCTCTCAGTCTAGCTCTAGCTCTCGCTCTCGCTCTCTGTCTATCTGTCTCTCTGTCTTTGCTCTCTCTCTCTCTCGTTCTCTTACCCTCGCTCTCACTCTCGCGCTCTCTATCTATTTATGCCTCTGTCTTTGCTCTCTTTCTCTCTCTCGCTTTCTCACACTCGCTCTCTCACTCTCGCGCGCTCTCTCTCGCGCTCTCTGTCTATTTGTGCCTCTGTCTTTGCTCTCTCTTACACTATATCTCTCTCTGTCTCTCTCGCTCTCACACTCCCGCTCTTTCTGTCTCCTTCTCTCTGTCTATTTGTGCCTCTGTCTTTGCTCTCTCTTTCCCTATCTCTCTCTGTCTCTCTTGCTCTCTCACTCTTGCTCTCTGTCTCCTTCTCTCTGTCTATTTGTGCCTCTGTCTTTGCCCTCTCTTTCTCTATCTCTCTCTGTCTCTCTCCCTCTCTCACTCTCGCTCTCTGTCTCCTTCTCTCTGTCTATTTGTGCCTCTGTCTTTGCTCTCTCTTTCTCTATCTCTCTCTGTCTCTCTCCCTCTCTCACTCTCGCTCTCTGTCTCCTTCTCTCTGTCTATTTGTGCCTCTGTCTTTGCTCTCTCTTTCTCTATCTCTCTCTCTGTCTCTCTCCCTCTCTCACTCTCGCGCTCTGTCTCTTTCTCTCTGTCTATTTGCACCTCTGTCTTTCTCCCTCTCTCTTTCTCTCTCTCTCTCTCTCTCTCTCTCTTTCCCCCTCTCCACTCCCTCTGTTTTTAAGCGCGAAAAGATCCTCTGTACTCGATGCTCGGTCGACGAACCGAGCAGTCGCGCGACGTTGTTCAGGTGAACCGGGCCGTTTCCTTTGAGAGCGACGCGGGCCGAGCCTCCTTGTTCCTTTGTGCGATAATAGATCCTCGAGATCAAACGGCCCCGAGGGGGGATCTCGAGATCATCCGGTGAAGGACACGCTTCGTAGCTGTTTCTCTATCTCTTCCTCCCTCTCTCTCTCTCTCTCTCTCTCTCTCTCTCTCGCTTTCTCTCTGCGCGCAAGACGCCGTTCTCCATCCTTTTTTCTACTCGTTCGGCGGTCATTACAGTTCGAAGTAGCTCGAGATTGGTCTCCGAAACGCCGCGAACAGCCACCTTGTCATGGAACCATGACGGTCGCCGGTCACCACGGTCTCCTCAAGGTTACTTCGTTATCAAGGACGACGTACAACCCCGCGGCGTTTCGTACCGGCACGGTGGAAAACAGGGCGTCTCGTCGATTCCTCCTCGCGGCGTCAAACGCGGAGGAAAACGTTTAGCGAGACGCGATTTCTCTGGTCCGAGGAACGATGCGACCTCTGAAAATTGGTCCAGCTACAGCGTCTACTGTATGCGCAGGCGCGTCACGTGACTCCTGTTCAAAAATTCAAATCCGCGGCGATCACTTCGACCTGGATTTTTCGGGGCAACGAAGCCTCGGTCCGACAGAGATCTCTCTGTCTCTCTCTCTCTCTCTCTCTCTCTCTCTCTCTCTCTCTTTCTGCGCGGATGTCCTCGCGCCGAGGATCGACAGGGTGCCATTTTCGACCGTGCCTCGAGCTCGTCGAGCTTTCGAAAGCTTCGGGAGAATGGGACGACCGACCGCGTCGCTCTGGAAGGAACCAGGCCGACAGGGGCTTGAAAGCTAGAGACACTGACCAAAGAAACCGTTTCGAGTGATTAACGTTTAGACGACTTACTACCTTATAAAGTACTTGTGCTAGCGAAGTAAGAACTCCGTGAGGAGACGCGGTTACGAAACGAACGAAGCAGCGACGAGGGTGGGGAGAAACAAACAAAAAAAAATATGGTAGAACCTATCGTAGCCTGAAATTATGTGATATATATAAGAAGAAGAGGAGGAGGAGGACGAAGAAGAAGAAGAAGATGATGATGACGACGATGATGAGGATGATGATGATAACGATGATGAAGAGATGCTGTTTTTCCGCGGAGCTGTGCTCCCGTTTAAGAATTGTTACACACGGCCCGGAGGGCGCACACAGACACACGTACACGAGGTCGACGAGGATTTCGACCCGCCGGGGATCGTTCTGTCGATCCTGGATCAGCTAGGCGACACCGTGCGCCGCTTCACCTGTACACCTTGTTCATACATTGTACATAATTATTTATCTATTTGTATCCGGGCAACGATCCTTGGGCACGCGTCTCCGTTCGCGCGCCCGCATCTTCTCGCAGTCGTACGCCATCTTGTTTGCTGCCGAGATATACGGCGGCCCGCGAATGCGTTCGTTCATCTTCTAAAATGCAGTTACTGTTTTCAAACTGAATTGAATTGCTTGAATTCTCTTTTTTTGTTTGTTTGTTTGGGTGATAGAGGGATCAGTCTACTAGACGACGACTGATACGCTTCTCTTTCTTCTTAATTTTGATTTTTCTTCGAACGACAAAGGAATAAAAATCTCTCGCTTTTTAATTTTTTGAATCTGTCACGGAAGATCTGTATCGCAGATCTCGGCGACTTATGTCGAACATTTTTATCGAGATCGGTTCGCGTTGTTACGAGTTACGATCACAATTAAAGATCGGAAAAATCGCAGTTCTATCGGGATTTTCGTTAAAAATTGTAAGAAATCTGCAGCTTTTTAAATCCTTCAATGCCCTGTTGCTCGACTCTGAGTTATGCGATTTCAAAGATCCAAGATCTACGAAAGAAATTTCTTAAATATTCGTTACAAACTCGGACAAAAACGTTAAAAAGCGAGGGTTTCTAATCTTTCCTTTTCGATCCAGGTAATTTTAACAAAATTAACAGAAAAAGAAAGGAAGCATTTGAATCGTCGTCCAGTAGACAAGTCCCTCTATCACCCAGAAAAAGGGAATTCGAGTAATTTGAGCTCAGTTTCGAGAAAGTTATTGCGTTCTGAAACGAGTACGGACAATTTCGTGGGCCGTACGAACAATTTCATCTGCGAAAGGCCGAAGAAGATCTTCCGGGCTTTCGGTTCGAAACCTCGATCGTTTGCATAGAGCATGCGAGGCGCGGAGTTTCTTTTCGGTTTCGATGATCGAGAGGAAGGTGTTGATATTCGATCGCGTTAATATCTGTGTTTCTTCGGCGAACGGAGACCTGTACAGAACCGCTTTATTATACTAGGTAAGCGTAGAAGTCGACGACGAGTAACAGGTAACGAAGGCGCGAGAGAAATCAAAGATGGGAGAATGAAACGATGAGAAAACGAAAAAAAAAAGAATAAGCGACAAGCAGAAGACAAGCGCTGTCAGCTAGCCGGAAGCACCGCCATCGTTTTTCTCGCTGTTCACGACGTTCGCGCGAAAACAGACGCGGTTAACATCCGCGAGAACGAGAGCCGCAGTCGAACCGTGAGAAAAAAAAGATCCATTCGTAAAACTCGACCCTCCATTCTCTCCTACGTTCACGAAAGACAATCGTTTTCGGGACAGCTGTCCCTGTTTCTCCGCATGATACGTTCGTCGCGTTCTTTTTTACGTAGTGCCGACGGGGGCAACAATCGCTGGAACCGTCCGCCATTTTCCGCAGACCATCTC